CGCCAGGCCTTCCTGTCCTTCACTGCCTCCCTGAGTTTGCTAATTGGGAGATGACCAAAGCATGAATGATTGTATAAAGGGCTTCCCAGTCTAAGTATGGCACATCTGGCACATTAGATGAATTTGTGCAAAGGATTTCCTGATCACACCTGCCACCTACGGTTCAAGCAGGAACTGTGAGTCCAAGAAGACCCCCAAATTGTCTACCAGTCCTGAAGAGGGAGAACAATCCCATTCAGGATGAAAGATGGAACTACTCCAAGCTTAGAGGATTGAAATATCCACAGCTACTCAGTTTATCAGAGTTGAGCCTAAGCCTGTTCTTTCCCACTCAGACTTACCCAGCCTGTAGACATTGAGACAAGATCTTGACAGCATCACCTAGCTGATCTGGGACCAATACATATACCTGGGTATCATGAACATACTGATGATACTGGAACCCACAACACCATATCACCTCACCCAACTCATGAAGATGTTAAACAGGAGGGGTGAGACCACTGAACCTTGAGGTACCCAACACAGGACTTTGGCTCAATCTCTCCTCTGCCTGGTCAACACCAACTGGGCCTGAACACAGAGAAAATAGAAGAACCGTCAGCACACCATGCCCCCACTCCTAATCCCTGCAGGCACTCCAGAAGGATACCATGATCAATGTTATTGAAAGCCACTGAGAGATCAAATAAAACCAGGACAGTTGCACTACTCTCATCTGAGCTTTGCTAAAGGTCATCAACAAGCACAATCAATGCCATCTCAATACTGTGTCCCAGTTAGAAACCAGACTCAATTCAGTAAACGTACATATTATTGATCTCTGCTACTTAAAGTAATGCTGGTTCCTCGACCTATATTTCAAAGTTTATTATAATCACTGTCCTAAGCATCTATCGGGGTTGGAGCCTGTTTCTGTTATAATGGCACATCTTTCTTTTATATAATATATTGTATTTATTGTAAGATTTCACCCAGGCAAGCCATAACAGGTTTTTCATTGTCCTCTGTATCATCAACTCTTGCTATATGACGCAAAGTTGTCACTGACCTTTGCAGACTTAAATTTGAGTCTGCAGTGCATTATGTTTTATGATGTCCTATTCCAGTTTACCAGGAAGAAGTATATTTGGAAACTGACTCATGAGGGAAAAAATATCCTCCTCTCATTACTGTAAGATTAGGTTATTTAATTGAAGACTTTCAAAAGTCACTTCAACATTATGAAATTCAGCTCAAGAATCTTACACAGTTGAAGTGTTATTTTATCCCAAACCTATTCAAAGTATCTAGATTTTTTAACCAATTACCTTTAGCAATATTAACTACACTGTAATAGACAGGAACAGCTAAGCCTTTAAAAAAATTCTATGCTTATATCAACTTCATTGAGATTAGATCTACTTTAAGGACCACTTCAACCATAAATATATACTTTAAATAAAGGGTATGTATCATGCACATGACGTGTGTGATGAGAAAGTATAAGTGTTGCCCAAGACGATCTACTTAATACAAGAAAATAATGATGTAGAAGTAGAAATAACTTTCTACAAACAAGAAATTGGAAGTAGTGAAACTAGAAGAAATGCATGCCAGTTATACTAACAGAAGTGGAATTGTCACAAAACATTGCAGCTATCCCATTCTCTCAGTCTTCTGATTTCCACCCATCCCCCAATGTAGATTGACATTCTGTAGCTACTGAGAATGCCCAGTAAATATTAACCTGATTGCCCCAATCCTTTTAAATGTTTGGGAGGGCGGGACTTTTAAAAATAGGTTTCCCCAAATCTGCTAATACCTCTCTCTAATGTATTGTTGTTGCTGTTTTGGATACATAAATAAGCAATGGCACTCATAATCTGAACATCAGAAACAACATGAATGAAGGTTAATCTGTGAGATTCTAACTAGACAGAGGATTCAGCAACTTACTTAGGTATTTCTTAACTGAAATCTTACTTTCTATTAATGTATTTATAGCGACAGTCTTTAAAAGGCCTTTAGTTCCCCACTCTTAATTATGCTGCTATAGCTATCAGATTTCCATTCTGTGAAAACATGGGGTGAGATAGATACTTATGAGTGATGTAGTTGTTTGTAAATGATTCCTGGACACTTGCCCAGGAAAGCCAGAGAGAAACCCAGGGAGGGAGGAGGAACATCACACATTTTATTATCAACAGATCAGCAAAAATGATAGGAGCAAGGAGAATGCAAGCCTAGTTGGAAGGAGAAGCTAAATGAACCACAAATGCCTGCATGTCTGCAGTGAAAGATCACAGAGGTCTGAGATGAAAGGAACCCACACAAGAAGGGACCATCTGTCCTACTCTCCTGGAACATGCCCTTTTACTGTAAACTATTTAAAGCTTGTTCAGCTCCGTCAAAGAACTTTGGAACAGATTAGTAGAATTACTCAGGAATCCACTAAGCTTCCGATTCTAACCAAAGATAAGATCAGTATCTCTCTGCGGTATTAAGAGTACTTACTTATTCAGACACCTATCCATACAAAACCAAAGATTAAAACTTCTTTAAAACAGGGGTTTTCAATTTTTGTCAGGCTGCAGAATCCTTTAGTTAAAAAATAAAATCCTAGAACCCTTGATCAAGAGCAAAGCCATAGAGAACTGGCTGTGTTCAAGTGAACTCTTTTTTTGCCCTTAGTCCAATGGAATCCCATGAAGATCTCACCGAGCCTTTGGATGCCATGGAACACAGTTTCAAAAAACCCTGTTCCAAACGAACTCAAATACTCATACAATAAGTTTATTTAAAAAGCTGACAAATCTAGACAGATGAAACAAAACGTAACCAGAAATGTATTCACCTGATGGTTCAGAATGGTCTGTTGAACAAGCCGAGCGTAGCCATCGAGACGGACTCCGGAGTTGCTCCTGCTCCTCATTTCCAAGGTTCTCACAATCCCTTATGAAATGTGAAAAGTGTGGCTACGTACTGTGTGGGTTGACAGAGCCCCTTTCTCTCACTCCAGCAGCCGTTAGCACTTGTGGTTCATTCATCCATTAATTCATCCATTCAGTAAGCTGAACTGCAATTCTTGCTGGCAACGGGCGTCTTTATTCCAAAACAAACAGTAGCTATTAACAAGCAGATATAAAACAGGAGTTTCCCCTTTACCCTACATACCATCTGCAGTCAAAATGATACCTCACAACTATATACTTCTATATGAAACTAAACTTATTACTTTTCTACATGAATAATTATTACTACTACTTACTATACCACTTGTAAAAAAAACTATGGCTAAGAACTGCACTTGTTTGCATAAATATGCCTATCAAATAATTTATCAATGTAGGAATTTTACTGTTCCATCCTTGATCTAGGAAGCTCAGACAGTTTGGATGGGATTTATCCTCACAACAATCGTATGGGGAAGGCAGGTGGAGACACTGTAGCTGATTTACATGGTCATCTTGACTAGGAAGATATTCAAATCAGTACTCCCAACTTGTTTAATATATTATTGCCTACATAATATAGTTATGAACACAACAATGATTTCGATACAAAGGGCCCCACAGACAATAGGCAAGTGCAAAACATTTGAAAAGAGGCTTTGCTGGCAGGCAAGATTCTCCTGTAGATTTGCTCCTGGAAACTGTGAAGCATCTACAGTCCTTTGAAAGCTCAGCATGACTGCTTCAAGGCCATCCCAGTTTTAGTATCTTCTCTCATACATGCATCCTCAGAAGATTTTGGAGAGGCTCAAAGTAGGCACACCTTCCAGGTAAAATGCCTGCTTTGTGGCTTCAAGCAGATCCAGAACATGTGATCAAATGACTTGCATCGCCCTAATATAAGTGACTGGGTTCACATGTTACATTAAATCAGTAGTGGGCAACACTAAAGAGATGTTCAGGACAACTCAGCCTCTAAAGACTACAGGTGACATAACTGGAAAAGTGGTAATTTTGCTGGAAGGGCAATGTTTGGCTCTATTTCCCCACCACCACCACCACCACCACTACCACCACCACCATTTTTCAGGGTGAAGATGGGTTTGAGATGCTTGGAAAACAAAATTTCCCACCTCCAACCTTAAAATCCCCCCAACCCCCCAAATTAGCTCAAATTGAATCCTTAATACTGTATATTAACTTGATGGCCTGGTCCATGCTACATATTAAAACATAATGTAGTTTGCTTGTTTTGGCTTTGCCATGGTAGTTTATAAACCATGGTTTATAATTTGTCATGCATGAACACAGCCAGTCTGTCCTATAATGCTTTAGAACACTTCTTCATCTAAAATGTCATCACAATACTGTATATTTACTTTAACGACATTAGGGCTACTAGATTCAGGCTGCAGAAATCTGTATGACCACCAGATGGGCAGAAAGAGATTCAAAATACTAAACAATTGCTGCTATCCTGGGTCATCTCACCCTTTGAAACACAAACCAGGCATGTGAGTAGACCCCATTATGCTTATATTAATCACTGAAATATTTCTGTCTAGGAAACATTATTTTGATAAAATTCCCTAAATTCATATGAGAATTTGAACAAAGAAAGCAATTGTGTCACATCAATACAGATCTAAATTAAATTAATTTTAAATTAAAGCTATGGCAGTTCTTCCGGTACCTTTTCTGCTTCTATCGGCCCAGACAGATTTGAAACTATTTCTACAAAATGCAGCTCCAAAATTAGTCCAAATACGGAGGCAAACTAGTCAGCTGCCTAGGATGCTAATATTCAAGAATTATTTTTTTTCTTATATATGAATCTAGAGAGCCATTTCTCATTTTTTCCATCATGCCTTATAAGTAAAATGTGAACTTTACGTTAACCATTTCAAGCACAGTAGTGTTAGCTGACTGCACAAAAAAAACACTAAATTCCTATTTAGAAGCCTTTTAGATAAGGGGCCATATAACTTTTTTCCCCTCTTCGTTTTTTTTTACTCTAGCATCAGTAATTTGGAATGTGGTATGTAGATCTTGCCAAAGCAGAGCAGAATAGCATGCTAGTTATATATTAAAATTAAAATAAAACATAAACAACAGCATCTGGATTTGAAAACTTAATGTCGCCTTTTCTGATCTGGCACAGTCCTCCTGATGTATGGGATCTGGCTGGGAATTTATGGGAAATGTACTCCAGCACGTCAGGAAGGGACCAAATCATCATAAAATCATCAGCATTACAATTTGATTAGGAGAGCAAAAAAAGGACTACGGATGAAACCTTTGTGACTTAATATTACAACATATTATTTCACTACACATTATAGACCAGGTGTCCAGAGCACAACAATATCTTCTAGCACTGAAGCAAAAGTGATTCCAAAACGTTATGACACACGCAGATGGATAGTTAGATAGAAACACACAGGAAGGGGTCCCAAGGTCATCGTGCCTGATTGTCAGTCCGCTATTTTATTAGATACTTCATCGCAAACCAAGCCAACCCCTCTTCCACATAACTCCAGTGCGCCACAGGCACAGATGAGGATCTTACCTGCCAAAGACTGACACAGGCTCATTTTCCGGCTAGCGGCAATCTGCTCCTCCGAGCTATTCTGGCGGAAGGAAATATTCTTCCCCGCTCCCCCCTCCAGAACTAAAACCAACCAAATTCCCGCCAGCCGCTACGGGCGACGTCGTCCTCTGAATGAGAGAATCCGATAGCTGGTTCGCAAGGCTGCAGCAAGGGAGTCCCCGTTTCGCGGCGGGGAGAAGGCTGTTCCCGCAGCAGCCCGCGAGGCCAAGCTCGCGAGGCCAAGCTAATTACGGCCACGCGCCACCGAGGCCTGAACAATGTTCCTTCCTCATTATTAGACTCTTTACGGGACCCGCAGCAACTAAACAGCCGCGGATGCCCAAAGCAATCCCCGCCTCTTTCTTAAGAAGCTCTCGCTTTTAGCCGCGTCTTGAAAGATCAGTAGTCTCTCTTAAATCTTACGATACTGACATCGCTCTCCTGATGCGCGCAGGGACAGCGAGAGATTTTATTCGTCGAAGTGTAGGCTCAGGGTAGGGGAAGAGCGCCCTTCGTTTTATTATTGCCGTTATATTAGAGGTTTCTTTATGACACTGTCAGGACCTGTATGGTTGCAGGCCGCCTTCACTTTTGCGTCAACGGGATCCGCGGGAGCGAGTTGGCCGTTCTGAAGGTCAAAGGTGCGTGCTGTGCAGGTCGTAACTCGCGCACATAGAATTACAAGCTTTAAAGTGGGTTTAAAGTTACAGAATTGCTAAAAGGACAGCTGTGATAATGAACGTAAAACATAACCGCGAATAGTTCTAAAGCATTTGGACAAATAACTTTAGACTCCAGACTGAATGTCCTGAACTAGCCCCTTCTTTGACTGGGAATGCATATTTACTTAAAATACATAAGCCATATTTTAACTTTCTACTGGTTCTGCTGTGTAGTATTATAGACAATAGAAGCTGCAGTGATTTGGAGAAAAAGATTTTTGAGTCTTCACAGGAGACACTACGCTTAGATGTATACCTCATTTCATGCACACTTAAGAATAGTTCAACACAAAATAATTGGTGAATGTCACTTTGTTTATAGAAAATAACTAAATTGACATGGGCCATATATTTAGTAGGATGACAAAAGAGTTCATCTCGAATTCTTCATAATTCTTTATCAGGCTTCAGGAAGAAATAACTCAAATTTAAGTCATAGAACTTGCAAGAATCCAAAAGGAAATTGCATATATTCAAGTATCAGGCAGATAATTTTAAGATGCAGCAGAGACTTCATCTCAGCAGCATTAGAGTTGCTGAGATGAAAAACAAATAGTACCCAATTCTCTAGATTTGTAAATATTGACCCAATTCTTAAAGGGACTTTTCTCCTTCAGTGAAATACATATATTTCTTAAGAGGAATACAAGGGGAAAAAAACTCATTTATATTAGCAAAGCTGGGCACATTTCAAATGGTGGCTTTTCCTAGTACAGTATCTTGAGATGCATCCTCAGATATACATTAGAGAACTTTTTTTGTGATCTTGAATTGTCCTAATAACAGGATTGGCTTGATGTGGATTTCTTAGATTTCCCCCCATCTTTTGGAAAATAACCACATTAGCTGGAGGAAGATTTTTTTTTTTTTTGGTAGTACTTAAAGCTGGAATATTTATCTCTTGAATTGATGTCTTGCCTAGAGTTGTATTGGTCCAGTCCAAAGAAGAGTTGAAGGGGGGTGGAGGTGTGGATACAAAGCACGTTTTTAGCCTGAGCTTGGAAACAGACATAATTTCCCTCTGAAAGCCAAATAGGATTTCCTTTTCCATACTTTCTGCCATCCCACCCCAAAAAAGGCATGGAAAATATTCATGGAGTTATCTAAGGCAATTCAGTTTCATCTCCCTGATGACAATCCTCTACTTCGTTTGACGTATTTGCAATTAGTTGCCCAATTAAAATATAACTATGGCAGCTGCCTTACAGCTTGCATTGTTTCTATGTCAGTTCTATTAATTTATTCAAGGGTTATGTTACACCTCTATACTAGAAATTAAGAGTTTGGGTATTGCAGCAAGATTGCAGGTGATCAGTTAGATCTAGCAGATTTCAGAGTTGTGTTTTTTAGTTTATAATACCCAATTGGATCCCAGTCCTTTCCCAAAGTTTTTTTTTTTTAACTGGGGCAGACTAGATCTCTAAAACAATTTCTGGTAAAGCACTGTTCAAACTGTGTATGTGTTGTATATGTTTCTAACTATGAATAACAATTTTAAAAATATACTGCACAATTTTCTAAACAGAAAAGTAAATAATACTTTTAAAGTATTGTTGAAGTCTATTAATAAACCAGAAGAAATCTTAATATGCAATTAAAGGCATATGCACATTTCATTATTTTGTATAAATATAAATTAAAACAATTTCACCCTGGGACAAACTGTTCAACCTGTCATCCACACATTTTGATGTTTAAGGGAAAAGATCTGATCTTTGATAGCTTTCTCTTCCAAACATTTACATCCTTTACCTTTGTATCTTTTAGATTGTAAATCTGCATTCAAGGAGTGATCTTGTAAGTGGTTTTTAAATAACAGCAAGGACTTAGGGAGAAATTTACCGATTTAGCAGCCTGCCAAGGCCAAGACTGTGTGAAAATACTGTCAATTCCTCAAGCTAACTTGTGTCCTCTCCTCTCTGCTGCTAAAAAGTATCTGTGGCAGACCTGTTGACAACTCAACTGCTGCCCATAGAGAATTATGTTTGCTGAAGGGTCAACTTAAATACCATGGATCTCTTCCCACAACCATCTCTGTGGAAACTACAAATCTGCATCCTTCTCAGGTGATCATTAAAAAAGCAATTTCTCCTGCAGTTCATCCCCTTGGAAAATGTCATGATGTATTTGTTTCAAGCCTCAATGCAGATTGGTTTCATTTTAATAACATAACAATATTCTGGAAAGAAATACTTGTACATTTTCCCTTTATCAACTTAAAAAATCATATGGTTCTTTTTTCCCCCCCAGAGATCAGGCTATTCATATGGAAGTTGTAACTCTGACAAGCAATAAAGCAAGCAATGTATTGTCGAAGGCTTTCACGGCCGGAATACGATGGCTGGTGTGGGTCTTTCCTACAACCGCCAAACGCCCCGAAAAACCCCCCCACCCCCAAAAAAACAAACCAGTTTTATTTTTT